ACAATAACTGCCAGATTAGTGTAAGAAAGTGTAATAACAATAATAATGGGGGAACGGAAAGTTACAACCAGGAGAAATATTTCAGTTAAAGAAGATACAACCACTTTTTATGAAGAAATTAAAAGAAGGTTACAGCAGGATCGCCACTGGCTTCTATTCTGAGCCATATCTGATAACGTCTCTAGCCACTGTGTCGCACCATCTCTCGGACACAAGCCAGGGAGTCGTGAAGGACCAACAGAAGCTAGCCCTTTGCAGCTTTCTTTCATACCCCGACACGATGTCATACACTGACCACCTCTCCGCTTTTACCAACCAGTCCCAGAGTCGGCAAATAATGCACGACGTAGAATTCTCTGGGACGACATTCGTTGAACATGTCCAAGCCACCGACGTTGATGTTTCAACATGGTGACACCAATTTCATTATCGTCTTTGTGCCCGAACACACGATGCCGAATTTCCTCATTACTCGCACATTGTTGCCACTCGATGTCAGCAATCCTTCGGAGACAATGATGATCAAACACAGAGAGTCGTCTAACATCCTCAACTCGGAGAGGCCAGGTTTCACAAGCATAGAGCAAAACTGCTCTCACCGACGCGTTGTAGATCCTACCTTTTACGGCCAGACTGACATCACGAAGGTACCAAAGATGGCCCAGATTGATGTAAGCCGCTCTGGCTTTCACTATACGTGCATTGATCGCATCACTCACGCCACCACCAGCACTTAATCAGCTACCTAGATACACGAACTTCTCGACTACTTCTATCCGCTCACCATCCAGAGTGAGTACATGATTAGAGTCCTGCCAGTCTTGTAGAAGTACTTTGCACTTCGAAAGTGCAAAGCACATACCATACCTACGGACACTGATTGCCAACTGATTAAGTAATGTTATACTGGTATAATTAATAACTACAAATATTAACAACGTATTCATAGAATATTGACATGGTCTTTTAAAGCTCGGTTTCAGTAACTGTTTTTTGAGGTTAATAGAACACATTGGGATTAGAGTAACATACTGAGATGGCAAAGGTTCATAGTACAGGTAGGTGATTTTGTGTTTTCTAAAACATGTAGTTTAATCATATCGCCTGCATTTTATGAAAATATTATGTTACTACACAACATTCAAAACAGAACTACTAAGTAGTTATTAGGAACTTGTATGCTAATACAGGCGACCAAGCCTCTTGTCCTTCCCAAACTGAATATATTTTGGAGAATTTCAAAAGAATTATCATGTTCTTATCGTTGTTTTTATGGAATAAGACATTTACTTTTTCAGTCATAATAATCACGTTTAATCAGAAATTTATGGAAAAGTACTATATTAAATTAATAACTCATAGATTTATTTAGCCAGTACCTTGTTCGTCTATCAGTTTGCGTCAGTGTAAAAGTCAAGAATGTAAAACAATGTTCTGCCATAACTTACACATCCTCTGTGAATAAAAATCGTTATTATTTAGTCAATATTCATGACCAAATATTATTTGATTCCAAATGTTTCCCTCATTAGCATCTAATTGGCTAAGTAACAGCTAGCTTGTTTTCTGTTGGTTAATGTACTGTACAATTCGTAAATGACACTACTGAAGAAATTGTGACTCAGGGACTAAGAAAAGTCGTACAAAAACAACTTAATGCAGACAGACTAAGTGCTCTATTCTACAACCACTCCACAATAAGAAAGGCCAATAGAGATTGCTTAAATTCTCCAAATCCATGTGTATTTATCGATTCAACTGCTCCTGTGGAGCCAGTTATATAAGGCATACAATTCGGCAAGTTCGTCATCGTATAACAGAGCACCATCTGTTAAGCAAAGAACAGGTAAGAGTGATTAAAGGTTCTATTCTCGCTCACTTGGTTAACACAGGTCATCAAGTTGAACTGAATAAAGCTTTTAAGGTTATCTACAAGATTCCATCAAATTTGCCACATGGTTTAAGAGCGCATGTTTTGCACATTGCGGAAGCCATCTCAATTCATGTTCACAAAACTAACCGTTGCATCCCAGAGAAATTTCTACAACTACTCTCGCTACCTTGGCCATCGGTATAATAGTACCTCCAGCAGGACTACTTTCATTCGTTTTTTTGTATTTTTCTCAACATTCATCTCTTGATTCTTACATAACTACTATTCTATTGAGCATCCATTAAAATATTCTGTTCCTTCTCTTTTTCATATATTATGTAACGTAGCAACTTCTTGATTTTTGAGTAATTATTTTGAATATTATTAATCCTCTTTCTTCCAATTACTCAATGTTAATTTATAATCCAAATGTCATTACGTAATCATTACGTAACGTATCCACTCGATGAGTATTTCATTATTGTAAATCATGCCTATATATATATATATATATATATATATATATATATATATATATATATATATATATATATATATATTGAAAAGAAATCTCTTTGTTCAATTCGTTCCTTCTTTATTCACCAAATGTCAAAATGGGAATTTTCACTATACTGAATATCCATCTGGTCATATTAAACTAGCCCTTTACCAATAAAATTCAACATTTTCAAGAGTTATAATTTTCAGTCATGCTTATTAAGCTACAAAACAAGTGTTAAGAGACTTTTCAACCAAATACTATGGGATTATATTTCTTGCTTAAGCTTTTGTGATGATTACTTTTAGACACTACAATTTCGAAATTACCAATTGAATTGTATTTAAGTGTCACTTTATTTACATACAAACAATCACAAAGTTTATACAATAGTGCCTATAATATGTTACTATATCTTGTTTACACTGTATCATTGCAAAATATAAATATTGTCAACTCCTTATGGAGACCTTTAGTTTTGAAAACAGTATTTATAACACGAACTATGACAGAGTTTAAATATAGATAAAAATTTAGTGGAATGGGCCCTTCTAGGGTCACTTCACTGGTGTTTTCATAAGGAACTTGTGTCATGTGAAATCTTTTTATAACCGAAATAGACAAAGAAACTTTATCAAATCTAATGACAATCGTTAAAAATGGCTTTGTATATACATACCCTTATGTGTTTTGGATTTTGACTAATGCGTGCAAACTTTCTTAACACAAAGGATCTCATGAGACGTTAAACTAATATCAATTCATTAACAGCACAAATTAAAGTCTCACTAGACTATTTGAATTGTCGAAGAGGCTTCACATCAACTTTTTGTTACCATAAATTTCAAACCTTGTCACAATGCAAAGATTACTTCTGTGTAGAACATTTAGAATTTGGAAACCAGTTTTAGTTACTATAACTAAAGTTGTTTAGGAAATATAAATTTACAAGTGATCGTGGATGCGCACTGCTGAGGAGTCCCATACTAGGACGAAACGGCCGTCCAGTGCTTACAGGTTTTCCATGGTGGTCTAGCTTTAATTGACTCATGATTTCAACTATTGAAATTATTAAAATCTCCTCAAAACCCCTTCTGATACTAAACATTGGTTTTGTCTATAATTTTACTGATTTACACTTTTCTTTTACTTCGGAATTTTTCGCAGTACGAGCAAGAATGGCTAGCGAATGGGACTTTTTGTCTCTTGACGAAAAAAGCATATTTATACTGATAGATCACTGAGTAGTGGGCAACGTGCTCTATTCGGTCTTTAGAGCTACAGAGGTTTGGTGATGAGAAACGATTCTTCAGATGATAGAATACAACAAATATGAAGACTGCAAACTAAATTTCATGGTGGACAGAACTCTCCGGTAAAGCATATCTGTAATATTGGGGAGACTGACACGCCTTATACTGAACTTCGACTCACATGTAGCAGCAAGCAAACGTTACTAACGAACCCTATCAAGCTATCTAAAGTTTAACAGATCCCCAAGAAATTTGTCTCCCTATCATCCTGTGGTGTATGTATGAACTAGTGATTCTTCTGTCCTTGACGACTGCCTGATTCCGAATTCCAAATACAATACGTTCGTTCGTGCTCATCTAGTTCTTCTTGGTTAAATTCCTAATTCGTACAATAATTTAAATACTTCTAATCATCACACATACACTATGTACTTTAAATATTCACTTAACGAACGGTATTTCCGAGTATACAATAACTAAGAGATGAATAATTATGTTAACAGTATATATAATCTATTCATTACTTATAGGTTGTTTCATTTAAGACGAATTACATCCTTAATATGTCTATTTGTAAATAAAATTGTTTTTCAGTGTTATATTCAAAATTGTTGGCTATTTCAACAAATGTGAATATAGACTATCGCAGTCAATAATACTTACAAAATGCACGAATTCAAGCTCAATTACTAAGCTACCGGACTGATTTGCAGTAGGTCCTTAAACTGACTTCCAACTTATTACAAAAGTGCAATTAGTTTAAAACAATGGGTTTGTTAAGTGAGTGCACAACTTCAACGCTTTGCGGCAGATAACTGTTTACAAATATCTGGGTTCAGAAAACGAGTTATGGTCTCAAGTTTTTGTAAGCTAAAAAATGAACGATAAAACCATACTGTGAAGAATAGTGATGTTAGCCCAAAGAAGGCGTCATACAGATCTACTATTATTGAGTATCCGATTATAATTACACGCCCAAAACCTTTTTCAAAGCATTTACGAACAATCGAAATAAAGACAGTGTAACATTTCAAGTTATTTCAATTTACATATAGGCCAAAAATCGTTATTTCTGTTGCAGCATATAACGAGTGGACGGAAATTAACTAATACTGGCTAGTCTTTCCTTAACAAATCAGGACATGGTACAAATATATGAATCGACCAGTTGGGTTGATGCTATGACCAGCGATATATCGTAACAGTAATTATTACCCCAAGTATATATTTTGCGGAAACACTACATATACAATAACTTTGAATGTATACACACATCGCTTAGTTAAATGAGAGATCCATGTTCATTGTACAAAATTCAGGGCTAGCTGGGAACAAAGAAAATTTATGGACATATGGTGGCAACACTTTCTGAACTCTATCCGGATGAAGGCCACACACTTGCCAAATTTTCGATGTCATTGAGACTCATGGAATTTAATCTGGCAGACAATGCCTACAAAAAAAGCACAAAAGGAAATAGGTTAAGTAAAGTCAGTATATACTAATGAACTTGTGAAATTTGAAATAGAACAGAAAGTTGAATTTACGTATTTAATCTCATATGGAAATAAGTTAGTCTAATAGACGGTTTTTACGTATTTTGCCCATAATTCTTACACGACACCGTCACCCTAAAGGTACTATCCCTAGAAATCGACACAAACCACTGATGATGAGGTAATAATTAATAAGACATATATAACCTGGAAGAATTTGAGTCTGAATGCCAAGTGACTCACTTAATGTTTACACTGACTGGAGAGATTTAGTCACGTCATTTAGTTACATTTTTCGTCGTTAGTGAGTGGGAAATTGATAGGTTCGGTTGTAAATCTCTGAATTTTTGGGACGTGTTTCCCCAAACATTTGCTAACTTGAAGTGCAATGATGACTGGTGTCGGAGTAGTTTAGAAAACTAGGAGTGGTTAAACCAAAACAGCATTAGTCGGCGACTATTGGTCTGAGTTATGTTTGGTAGATAGACTACCGGTTTGGGGTCCGTATGAAAACTGGATGACATGCCTGTGACACTATAATCTATGGGCGGTCTTCAGGCAATGCCAGTGACCTTGGTGAAAAACCACTCACTAGGGTCAAAAGAGGGTGATAAATCAGTGTGAGGAAATAGGATCAGGATACACAGTTAGAAGTTAGGATTAGTAATTAATGTTAGGGTTGTCATCAAATATAGTGTTAAAATGCTATCTAACCAAAGAGATGGATGGGTTTCGAGCCAAATATCCAGGACTTCCTATCTTAGATCTTATTTTTCTACTCATAAATTAGTGTCAACTCGCTAATACTGTTACAACTTATACAACTGACTCTTTCTTGTGCTGACGTGGTATGTTAACTTGAACAGATGCATATGCAACGGATTTTAAGTTATGTACAGCTAGTGGAACGACACTATTGAAAAACCATGCTCCCACTATGCCAGGTCTGTGAACTTTACACCATAGCTAAGATTACGTCCAATGGAATTTCTTCTATACATACTAGTTGGGGCTTTGCCGCACTAAAATACAAGCTTAATACTTAAAAAAAGCTTAGTGTCGAGACGATTACTCAAGATTACTGTGTACCAATCAAGAAGTATCGACCAATTAATAAATTCACACGGCTTTGATCAATGTAGGGAATAATAGAGATTATTTATTACACAGTAGTACTTCACCTATAGAACGAACGCAGCGCTGCACCCCAAAGAACTGAGTTAATCAAGGGAATGTCCGTGTTCGAGGATTTGAAAGGAGAATACTTGAGACCACCTTTCAATAAATTACAAGGTAGGAGATATATATGTCTACATTACACATATGGTAAATGTGAGACCAATGTTAATGATCAATGTCACTGATACTTGTAGCCTGACAGAAGCACACTTTAACATCATGAGAAGTAGTTGAGCTAATCAACTTACCTGAAGAAATTTCGAGACCACGAAATCTGGATTAACTTCAGGAAGTTTCTCAGCCAAATACTTGCGCAAAAGAGACTCAAAGTCACTTCGTTGCGGTGCACTTTTTGTTAGTAAGGTAAGTCTGTCTCCATCCCTGATTTCATAATTTAGGAGAGGCTTATCTTTGTCTGGGACATCATATAGACATTATTAGTTAACTACCTAATAAAGGACATCCTTTAAAGACTAATCGCTGATACTCAGGATCAATATCAAAGGCACACTTCACTGCAGCCAATAGATCTGAAACATATGCATCATCATCCACCTTCGAAGAATAAGTCTAAGGGACCGATGAAAACATACCTGGACTACTTTTTCAGCACGCGTAAGAGGCTTTACCGTTAGTTGCATTTAAGACATAAACAGCGCCTACACCTATAGACAATATCCTTGTGAAGGGGTTCAATGACCAATATATCTAATAATCTTTTGGCGGGCTCGTATAGACCGATTGGTTTCTTTGAGGTCCCTCCTTGTCAGTTCGTTACGGATCCATGTATTTGGTACTATCCAGTGGGAGGTAGTACAATTAATCGAATGCATTAATTTTAGTCAGTTCACTGGTTATTCGTTGGTTTGTATAGTGTATTCTGAGCGAATGCGTTCTTTGGGCAGTAGGGTTTCTGGAAATCAGAAACTTTCAGGCTGAGAAACAGGGGGTCGGTTTGTTAGTTTCGATGTAAAAAAGGGGAAGTTCGAATGCCGAGGGAAGACGATTGTTCCAAGAACTAAATAAATAAATCAGTCGATTAGTAATACAAACAGTATGAAACGACCGAATAAGAGGGGAAACGGAGATACGAATAGGCGAGATAGGAGTAAGTTAATGACGTGTGACGGTGAGGATGACAGTAGGTGAGTGTTACAACGTGTGGCTCTGTTCCCCTAAAAACATATAATGTAATGATACCGCAATCGCAGAAGAGTGAATTATCGACCGGGAAAATGACGCAAAAAACCTATACGAGCAGTCTAGGGTCCTTACCGGTTCTTTTCTCCGCCTAGAGAGCACCAATCTCAGCCTCCGCGATATGAATCATGTATTTCAAGCATACTGGGTTTATATATCAACCAAACAGGCCACCACAGAACAGAAAACAACATCTGTACAAAGATCTTGTCCAAAGTAGCTGTGAGTGTGAGAGACTGCAATTAATAGACAAGGCATAACTCAAGAACAGTAAATCGTATAATAGTAGTCTATGGATCGAAATAAAGTGGAAAAGGAGGAACGTGAATACACATAATTTAGGTATTTATTAATTATACTATATATATATATATATAAGTGGTTCTCAAGAGTTGTCATTAATAATTCTCGTCAGGATATAACCGTACGTTACGAAACATGTACTACGCAGAGATAGTCCAAGCACGATATGGTAATCCCCAGGTTAGTAGGTATTTATCAAGTCCCTTCTCGAAGCCACCCTATGAGGAGTCTCTGGACACTTCAACTGGAAGAGCATTCCCAATGGAAACAACCTTTAATGAGGAGCAGTGAGAGTGTGCCTAAACTTTGTCTTTTTGGTGGGCGATTTGTCGGGATTGACTGGAGGGATGTGATGGTTATGTTCTGGTAGGGTGTTCGCTTTTGAGTAACTTGAAGAATTTTGTAGGTTGGATGCCATTGTCAAATCACCTCCTGTTCCATTATAACTCTGCAAGAATAATCTCAAGTGTCCGAGTCTCTCTCCGTCAGATTCGTTCGAAAACCTCACCATCCAATCGGACACTCGCCTTTGTAATTTGTCTGGGTGGTTTGTGTCTCCTTTGAAGAGAGTGAGCCTAACGTCATTGCGGATCGACGATTGCGAGGTGATTGTGTCGAGTTGTATTCGCATAAATTGAATCGTTGCGTTTACATTGGCTGCATCACCAATGCAGCTTGAGTTGGTGTCCAAGCTCTCTGAGGTTACCAGTCGTAAACTGGGCACTGAGGAGACAATTTGAAAACATTTTCATGTAGAATGTGAGTTGTTTGTTTCTCAGGTTGGTGAAGATCAATGAAATGCCATTTTAATAGATTAAACTTCAACCCAATATCTAATAAGTAGTTCTGTGTCTTTGGAATCGGTGCTGAACTCATTAGTTTTACTGAACACGCCCTATTTGAAGGTCCTCAGTCTAGAATCCACACAAGATCACTATGGGGCACTCCGTGCTATGCATTCCTCAAAAAAACTAGCTAGCTCAATTCACACGCTTAGACCATATTCTTCCTAACAAATCGTCTATCTTCATACAACTTCATTCACGACTTTAGGTTTGACGAGGTTAGTAACCCACGATTATTTAAGTTGTTGCGAGCACAAGACTTGCCAATTCCGTGACATCATGATTTCGAAGCCTCCAATGATTTAAGTCTTTTATAGGCGCAACATAAGCGGCTCCTCAGAAATATCTTAATAGTGAGGAATCTTTACTGAATTTGCTTGCGGAATTTCTACTCACTCAAGGTCATATAACTTTATAAATACCTTCCATTTTCTATAAATAAACTAGCTAAATCTGTTACAGACGTATCTAGCCTTCACTCTGTTTTTTCAGTTGCTAGGACGAAATTAATAAGCAATCTAGTGACAGAATTATTGGTTGCTATGGTGAAATGTGTTTTGATCAATAAGCGAGTAATCAGTCTGTCGATAATTACTTTGACCAATGAGATGCAAGGGAAAGAGATTAACGCTGATCAATATTGAGTAAGTAATACATTTGCGAAACATGGCTTTCACTCACTGTTCTTAGATTTTCAATGGTTATCTATCTGATTTGCGTCCATAGAGAAAATCAGTTCAAAGTTGAACCAATCTTCATGCCATCAGAACTTAACAGTATATCTGCTTGACGTCAATGATATAATGAGTCAATTAGACATGCACCAAATGATAAGTAAGAGGTCCTGATGAATGTACATTATTGCTCAAGATTTGACTTTATACAGAAAAAGACATACTTTTCTAGTTAAAGATATGGCTTCATTTACTAAGAAACTTGTTTCAGGATTTGTGAATAAGTTGTAGATATATTCTTGGTCATCCAAAAAGCTTCCTACTCACTCATGGTGTCGTCATTCAAGTAGATGGTTTGGACACGTCAATAAAAGTCGTGTATATCGGTATCAGATTCAGAGAACTTTAGATTATGAAAGTTAACGTGGAAGAAATCTGCAAAACGAACCTACTGTCAATTTACCTAATGAAAACCTATCAAGTCGTGTGATGTTTTAGTGAAGTATTAAACAGATTACAAATCTTTCAAACTGAAACAGATCTGTTTTTATTGATGATTCGTTTTCTTTAAAAACGCTGACTGTCCTTTGGTCAACAGGCATTAAAAATAACTTAGTTACTAAACATGTAGAGAGGTTAAGTGATTAACTATTTTTAAGTATTACTTATTCTCAAGGATTTTTTCTAAACAGTTAAATAATTGAAGCTTTACATTTTTATTACTGCCACTCATAATATCCAGAACTTACTTATATTTTTGGAAATGATGAAATATCACTTGAATATTTAGTGTCGGTTATGTTAAGCCCATATTCGTTATTCTAGCTTTCGGACACGCCAATCTATTCATTCTACTTGAATCATATTTTGACCTTGTTAATTATCCACTTATCAATCTTGACTGTTTTTAAATGAGCACGTAGGTGTGTGTACATTTCTTATCCCATTCACCACATGTCTGTAATTTATTTTTGTGTAACTATAAATATTGACTAACGCTTGGTTAAATGAGGAGTTGGGTTACCCGCCATCTCTACTGCGTTTTGTTTCGCTTTTCTCTATGCTGTTCGCTTCATGTACAAAATATATGTATCCAAAAGTCCATTCTCGTTATTTGACTTATTTAAGCTGATGATTATATACGAGGATAGGCGACATATATATTTCGAAAACAATCATCCACACGATCTAATTAGAGTCAGATCCCGGGTCACTAAAAATAACCCAGTCAATGTAATAAAAAATGAAACTGTAACCAATTATTCCTTCTAGTTAAATACAATGCAAATCGGGTAAGTCAAAAACCTCAGATACAGTTCTCAAAAAAATCCAGTTACAGTTATACATTACTTGTAGAAATAAAACTAAGTCGAAAAATGTATAATATTTCTAGCGTTCTGAATTGTATTATTCAAAGTAGTATAAATAAATATCAATAGCTTATTTGCTATATACCTCTGGTCATGTTTTTGATTGAAATCACCAATCGATTTATGTCAGATTACCGTTTAAAACCTCGAAGAACTAGACAGCCGTTTCGTCCTGGTATGAGACTTTTCAGAAGTGCTCATTCAAGATCCTGCTCGCAGGATTTGAATCCAGGACCTTCGATCTCACACGCGGACGCTTTACCTCTAAACCATCGGCTCCACGATGATTTCTAGTGAGAAGCCATGACCAGTGGAGCTAATTCATGTCAGGTAGAGACAGGTATCTACCCCAGACAATGGATAATGGTCGCGCAATTTCGTGGATTGGTTGAAGTTAGATATTACCACCGTTAGATTCCGGCTCACTAGTTTACCGGTTAAGCGTTCGTGCGTTGGACCGAGAGTTCTGGATCGTAATCCTGCGAGCAGAATTGTGATGTGCACTTCTGATGTGTCCCATACTAAAAAGGAAGGGCCATCCAGTTCTTCCAGTTTTTCAACTGTGGTCTAATATCGATCGATTGATGATTTCAATTAAAAACTTAACAATCTTCACAACTGTATACTGATAATAATGTCATTTAAGTGGTTATCGAATTCTATCGGTCAAGTTACAATGTGACCACTAGTTTGAGTGATTCAGCAGCGTATACATTATGTTTGATGCAATGAACCAATACTTCTAAACAAAATTCACCATAATTACAATATTTGGTTAAACTATCCATTTAGATAGCTATTATTATTATAATTTTGTGAACCTGAAATAAAATGATTGAAAATTGGATATCATAGTTAATCTCTAGGTAGATTTTACAGATTGACAGAAATGGTACAAACATGTAAAATCACGAATTTTATTGGATATATCAATGATCAAAGTAGGATTTAAGATATATGATTTGTTCGATAGGAGCAAGATACTATTCAAAATGCTGAGTCCCTATCAAGTGATCGATATTCCTAACTGCATTCAATTTACTAGATTACTTGGAGATCATTCAACTTCAGTACAAGATGAAAAATAAGAAAAAACTTATTGTTCATGTGACCTAACAAACCCACGGCAATTGAAATACGGAATGACCGATTCTTGTCAGACCGTTCAAGGTCGTCGAAACAAAACTGCGGGCTGTTTGAAGGAGTCTGACGTTTTTCCCGTGCAGTTACTCATCACTACAGATAGTGG